TTTTTAATTCATAATAATTTATAATATATTTTATGTCGAATTGTTATTTATTTGTTAAACTATTTGTGATGCTATTCTTAAGTCATGCCTCATGTAATGAGCCGATCCGGTCGCGGTGTTAGTGATCGTGGCTCGATGTTGAACATTCAACCGATAATGGCGGTGTACATGGAACTCGCCGGTGCAACTAGCTTGGGCCGTACACTCGATAGTGGTACATGCACGTTTGCATCCCCTCCATCGGTGCCCCTTCCAGTAGTGTCTCTTCGTCGTGGATGATTCCATTATGATTTCCTTGACTTCAAGAAGTCTACTAGATATGATGATGGACGAGCATTTTGATCATAAATAACTCGTAAGTAATATATTTTTCATCATATAATTAGTTTTTAATTTTCATATACTATATTGAAATCATTAATTACCTTATTTATTTTTTATTTTTTTTACTCAACAGTTTGGTTCCATCAAACAAGTGTTCATAAAAAATCACTCGCAATTTTCAAGTAGTTGAACTTCACTAGCTCCTCATGGAAATTTATCTCTATGGAGACAAAAGACTTCTACTTCAATGAGTTTAGGATAATATATTAATTAATTATTTATATTTTATTTAAAATATTAATATTATTTTTTACGTTTATGTAGAAATATTTTTTATGGGATACGGCTATCGATGTATTGATTAAAGATGCATGAGAGACTTTAGTACGGAGTAGTACAATGACATAATCAACAAGTCGAAGAATAAAGATAACGGACATGTGTTTGTTAAACAAAAGGTGTGGAAAGCATGACACCGGAATTGGTCCACTCCCGAGTATCGGGTCCAATCTCAACAAGCATCTCGAAATCGCATGTCAAAGATGGGTGGTGTCGATACTCGGGCCATCCAAGTGTATCGGAGGGTTCATCTCTTTGATCGAGTATGCTCGGTGTTTTGATAAATACTATGTTATCCATTATTTTATAAATTAATTTTTTTCTTTTATATCATCTCATATTATATTTTTTTTAGCATCATAAATTAAGTCATAATCCAAATCATTATAAGTTGTTCATAACCACTCACTAAAAAAAGGATGGGACATTTATCGACGGATAGTCACGGACATTAATGGTAAGGTTTTATATATATATATATATATATATATATATATATATATATATATATATATATATATATATATATATATATATATATATATATCGCCAATATAATCTAAGAAATATATTTATAATTTAATATTTTTATTATTTCAATGACTTAGAAGCTCATGAAATCAATACAAAAAGCATCTACTAAAGAGTGACGAAGGCTAATGCATCGTTTCAAGATCTCAACATGCCGAAGATATATTTGGATGATGTTGGAGGGGAGAAGAGCGAGATAGTGTAAGATATCAAAACTTATGCGTCCTAGTGTTACTCACATTCTCATGCTAGCTTCTCCTCTACCATTTTGCACTATCCCGGTAGTAATATCCGGGAGGTTTCGCTTAGTACAAATATCGGATCAAGGGGTGGAGGCTACCATCCAACGAACGAGCAAATAAAGTTCAAAACATGCAAACTTAGTTGCAAAGAGTTTTTGGGTTGTTAGAAAACCTCCAACCACCTCTCATCCATCCTACCGACCCTCCTACAATTCGGTAGTCGGATGTTCCTCTCAATAGCTAATAACCTAAAGATGATGCGAGAAGATGGTGATAATAAGGACTAATTTTTTTATTTAAAAAAAAATTTAAAACATTTTTGCACATCTTAAAGCATTTATATATTTATTTTATTTAAATTAATAAAATTTTAATTTTATTTAAAAATATAAAGTGTTTTAATAAGGTGTTATTTGTATTTATTTGTTATTACAATTATCAATAAATGAAAATTCATAAAAAAAAAAAATAGTGATAGAATAGAGATGATAATTAGCAAAGGATGATAGTTAGTCGCTAAACAAAAATAGTGACGAATTGCAATATTAACGACTAAAAAATAACAATCGCATAATCCATCTCTAAATAGTGATGGAAAAAAAGTAGAAATAGCAACGAGTTAGCCTTGGATACAAGATGTGAGAGACGATCGATTTAGAATTATTTAGCGATAAAATATCAACAAAATAACGATAGAAAATCCTGTTGCTAAATAGCATTGGAAGAAAAAATTATGTCGCTAAAAAAATGACCACTATTTTAGCGAAAGGTTGGATTTTGTCTCAAATTTGTCGTTGTCGTTAAAACCGTTTAGCGACGGATTTCTAAGAAATAGCAACAGAATAATCCATCGCTATTTCTCAAATTTCTTGTAGTGGATTCAACGAATGAAGTGTAGTTTGCATGATATCTCAAAGATATAACAAACTCGACCACTTTACTAAATCTCACAAATTTGCACTACTTATAAAACTTGAAACTCAACAAAATATAGTATCACTCTTACTTGAATTTGTAAAATAAAGACAAACAATATAGATTTTGATGAGACTATAAAAAAGACAAATTAAAGTGCTTTATTTTTATTTTTTCAACAATGTATATGTGCTACATCCAATTTGAGAAGAAACAAAGACATATATACATGTGAAGAAAATCAACCGTTTGAAAAGAAAATAATGGTAAGAATTTAAAACATTTAAAATCTTTATGATATAATATAATAACCAACGGTAATTTAATTGTTGTCTTTAATTAATTAATTAATCGTTGTCTTTGTATATGTTCTGAAACTAATGCTTTTATAATTTTTTATGAAATAATTAATATAATTTTAATTTTTTATTTTTTATAAAAATACTCCAACATGTAGTACCATATATATTATCAAATATATTCAATTAGGTTGTGTTTGTTTAGGGAAAAAACAAGTTCCAAGAACTTGTTTTCCTCGTTTTCTAGTGTTTGTTTCGCGTTTAGAAAAAAGTCAATAGAAAATGATTTCCAATCAATGAAAAATGATAGAGTATTTTTGAAAAAATATTTTTCCAGTTTAAAAAGAGGAAAATATTTTTCTTCTCACGAACTCGTCTCACTCTCATGTTACTTACATCTCTCTCGATATATTTTAATAATTTTTTTCTCTATCTTCTTTGTATTTAAAATATATCAAATTAATTTTTAATTATTCCCGATCAATTATTATTTATTATTTAATTATTTTTTTCTCTATTTCTACTAATATTTGATTTTTTGATTTATAGATACATTAAATATTCTTAAAAACCATTTTCACACCTTAAAATTATTTTTATAATAAATATTTTAATAATTTAACTTTATTTTTTTACTCTTATCTCAAACACCACTTACACTATACTTAAATGATTGAAAATAATTATTCCAAGACTGTAATTTTTTTATAAAAAATTTGAAATTAATTAATTCGTTAATAAATACATTATTTTCCCAAAACTATTTATTTGCAACTACATCAATAATCTGTAATTTTAATCGGTTGTAAAATTTTATTGTTAATTATAAAAATAATTAGTTACAAATTATTCCAACATTAATCTTTTGAAACTAAATGAATAATTATCTACAAATGATAACGAATAATTCATAAAAAAAATTTTTAGGCTAAATTATCAGTTCAATTTCTAAAAAAAATAAAATAAAATAAAATAAAATAAAATTCTTAATTGACTTACCAAAATAACAATGCTATTATTACTTAGAAATATATATATATATATATACTAATGTGAATATTGACTTGATTTTGTCCCAAGTAATTTTGATGAATTGGTTTTATAGTTAAAAAAGTACATTTTATTTTTTTGAATTAAAATTTTAGAGTCGGTATTTATGAAAATTTATTAAATTTTTCTAAATGTATCTTATATTGTGAAATTATGAATATGTCTTTTTTAAAGTTTTTTCAAAACTTGTTGATGTAACAATCACATACTTGTTTTTGTATTTTAATTATTTATATCAAACAAACGCTGAAATATACTTTTCGGTAATTTTTCTATATAATTGTCAAACAACGAGAAAATATTTTTTTGAAAAATAATTTCTTGAAAAATAGCTTCCTCATGAATTGATTTTTCTATGAAAGTTGTTTTTCGCCAAACAAACGTAACCTTAATACGTGATTAAGAAGGAACTTTAGTTTTGATGTGTAAAAGCTAATTCAAAGACAGAAGATACCCTTGCCGTTAAAAAAAAAAAATGGAAAACTTGACATTCTATAACGCTATAATTTAATCTTGCAGTTTGTATAATTACTAACTACAATGATTTAATTTGATATAATATAATCTAATTTAATAATAATAATGTATTTAAAGAAAATTTTAGCCTTTCAATTTAAAAGATATAGCAGAAGCAAATAATAATATAATTGTCCACCTCGAATATTTTGTTTTTGTTTTATATTATAAATATATAACTGGGAACAATGAATATCTTATAGATTTATTGTAACAAGTTTATTTGATATATATAATTAGAACAAATATAAAATTATTGTTCATTTTTATATTTTCTATTAAGTATTGGGAAGTTTACAGAGGAAAGGAAAGTTTGATTTTAGTTAATCGAACCTAAATTTGTACATAAGTTTGATTTAGTTTAGCTAATCTATGATTGAAAATCAAGAATCTAAACCGAATATATAATCGGATTGGATTAATCTATTTTTTAGGTGTAATGCATGCGGATGGACTCATTCTTAAGGTATATTTGGATTAGTTTATTTATTACCAAAAACTAAATTTATTTTTTGAATGATTTTAATAACGTATTTCTACATTAACTTAATATATTTAAAAGATTTTAATAAAATTCCTATGAAGGCTGGTTTCAAGTTTTAAATCTAAAAAATAAAAGAAGAGAAGCATGCCTTCTTAATTACAAGGAGAACCTTTTCGAATTGAAATTGGAAATCTCTAAATCCACGTAAAGGTTGATCGCATCATAAATGTTTAGTTCCTGGATTTAGGGAATGTCTAAATTAAAAAGTTGATTAGCAGTAGAAAAGCCCATTAATCCAACACCAGATATAGCCCATTAACGCTCCAATTTTGAATCACAATCACAAGCCAGTCCGTGTATATCTTTCTCAAGCGGCCACTTTTGACCCAAAACCCGCCACTGCACAGCAACACGTCACGCAATCCCCGCATGAATTCTTTGTCCGTTTCAATTTCAACATTCCAATTTGGCTTTCCCTTCCTTTTCATTTTCCCTGAAAATCAAATTCCCAACCGCTAACCAACCAAATTCTCAATTCGACAAATTTTAATTCTTTCAATTTTCAATAATAATAATAATAATAATAAAATCACGATGGACATCTCTCTAATTGCCGATACAGTAACAATAGCTACACAACAAACCCTAGGATCTGCAAACTCGCTTCTTCTCCACCGGCAAACTTGCATCAGCCTCGCAGATCAATCTTCCCAAATCTGCGCCCTCATCGTTGATGCCTTGGCTCCCCCGCCGGTCAAATCCAAGACCTCCCGCTGCAGTCGCCTCCGCAAACGGCAGCGGATCAGGCGGAAATCTCAAACTGACGGAGATTCCGGTGATTGCGGAGAGGAATATGGTTTTTTAGGAGGTGGTGATGGTGATGGTTTGTTTGGTAATGGCGGGGGTGGCTGGGGCGATTTTGGTGGTGGTGGGAGAGGGTGGAATTTTGATAAGTTCGGAGGGCACAATTGGGATGAATCTTCGTGGTGGTTTTCTTCACGGTCTTCGGGTTTCGCATATGGGTTTGTTTACGAGGTGATTTATTGGATTGCGTTATCAAATTGCGTGCATTTTGCATTTAAGAAGGTTGTTAGGACCGTGGCTGATGGAATTGGTGATACCGGGAGAGGGAAAGTCGTGCCTTTGAGATTGGCTAACGTGTGCTAATTTGCTAACTGATGTTTCTGAATTCATGAATTGAAGGGTATTATAGAACTTTGTGGGTTATGTTTTCTACAATGCAGTGCAATGTACATATTGTATATAATTGTTCTCAGTGTTTATATGAATTGGTTTATGATTTAGTTCTATGCGTATGACCTGCCTTTGATTATTTGATAATGAGGGATCACATGCTCTTTGATTTTTTATTGGGAGGAAATTTTTTTTTTTTTAATGGATTATCAGTTAGTGAGTCGGAAAAATTGGAAGTTCATGATTGTGTCAGGTAAATTGGGTATTAGAGGATTCTCTCTGGTTACTTTTTTCATATATTTTGATTTCTGATAGCATGGAGTCCCGTATCTTATGTTTATTTGTTGCATCTTCATTGTTTAATGGTGTTTCTATCGCATCTACAATTTCGGTTGACTTGTGCTTTTGAGGGAAGGGTAGGATGTCTTTTTCCTTTTCAGATTAGCTTAGATTAGCTGTTTGATGTTGGTTTTGGTGAAGGGTGGAAAAAGAAATGCATTTATTCTAATTCCTTCAATCATATGGGCATGTATTATGCTTGATATTGGTTGTTCCTTTTGGTTAAGAATATGTCAATACCAAGTCTTATCATTGGATACAAATGTTGTCAGAAGGAATTTTTTCTTGAGGGGTAGATATTGGAGGAGTATTTGGCACTTGTATTACCATCTATGATGAAGAGTTAGACTGATACTCAAAGGTGTTCTGAACTTTTGTCCTGTTGATGCAAATTAAAATTTCAATAAAATGATCAAATCATAACTCTAATTTTGTGGGCTACAGAATTAGCATTTTCCATCAGAATCTTACTGTTTGATGCCGAGTATGTGGATATAGAGGTTCTCGCTGCAGGGAGTCAATACAAGACTAGTGAAAACTATTGGTAGATTAGGTATTCTTGTAATGTTGTGTGCCATTACATAAGGCAAACAATCCTCATGTTGGAGTTGATATGATCTCAGCTCAAATAATTACTTAATTCAAAGGGAGAGGGAAAAATGGTTAGAGATTGGAAGTCGATTGGTTTTTACTTTCACTAGATTATCTTAATGGCATCAGGACTTTTAACAGCCACGGAAGAATGACAATACATTAGTTGAAAGCGATGAAAAATTACCCTGGCCACTAACTGTCCAGTGATTTACTTATGTTGAGGCTATGGCCGCTGACACCCATAGACTTTGGGATTCGATTGCTCTTTTGCTTTTGATTTACTTTTAAGGCATAGTATCTCTACAGTTCGAGAAGATAGATAAGATGCCCTGCTACCTGGAAGTGAAGGCAGTGGCATGATGTCCTTATCTTCGGTTTAGAATTTGCAATAGAGGTACCCTCCTTTATTTGAGTTCTTGTTTCTCTAAGTAACAATCTATCTGATGATGTTTTTGCTTTTAATATCTGAATGCCAACTCTTCTCCCAAAATCAGAAGTGAAAAAAATCGAATGCCTTGAATTGTTTTGGATTGAGGCCTTTCAGTATGAGATATCATTCAGCTTGCATGTTGGAGATTGGTATGTTTTAAATCTTGTGACAAGCCAAAGATTTCCATGATTTGTGGTTATAAGAAAAGATTCTTCATGCTAGCTGGTTGTGGTGACTGGTATTTATCTGATCGGTTAGAACCAAAACCTTGTTTCAGTAATGTTCTGTTCTCCTTACTCCATTCTTTGGGTTACATGTTACTGCACATTCTCTTTTATGAGCTAGATGGGGAGTTTTGTTCTCAAATGTTTTCCTGTTGTTGGCTTGTTTTCTCTGTTTTTACTATTGCGAACTGTTAATCATGCTTTCAGATTTTATTAAAGATGATGTGGCACCCACATGCAGGTGCTGGTGCATGCACATATTGGCTTTCATGTTCCCTGTGTGACAAGACCAAATAGTCTGATGGATTTTATTTGCTACATGCAGTTGGATTTCACTAGTTTAGATATAAGTTATGAACGTACATGTAGTATGATTGATCTATTTGGAGCTAGGAAATAATTGGTAGTTGGTTCCACTTGCTATCCAGAATAAGCGACGTCAGAAATTCCAAGTTTCCATTCTCCATAGTTTTGTTTTGATGGAAGGAGTAAGCATCAATCCGTGCAAGTGATCCATGAAATGGGTTTTGCACTGGTTGCTCATTAGATGTTGTCATGAAGAAATAGCAAGCATTATCTAATAATAATAAATGAGCAATAATATCCGTTGATTTCTACAGTAATAATAACTATGTTGGGGGATTTAATGAGTAACAACTATGCGGGGAATTTAATGAGTGAATTATAAATTAATCCATGTAGTTTTGAAAAACAAGTTATTTAGTTTTTCATGTTTTAAAAACTAATCATTAAGTCTATGGATTCATGTGATCACCTTTAATTTGATATTATTTTATTAAAAAAAAAATTGCATAAATCTTTTGGTGGAAATTTTTCAACTAAATCAGCCTGTTTCCTTCTTTTTAATTCTAAAACTATAGCAGAGAACAAATTTTGGAGGCTTATCTGGAGTTGGCCTAGACCACAACATATTCGATCTTTTCTTTGGTTAGTCGGTCCTGATCGACTCCTTATGAACTCCTAGCGTTATAGACAAAAAATGACTGCTGACAACTCTTATTCAAGGTGTGGAGACTTAATGGAAGATACAATTCATGTTTTTCGTGACTGTTCTTTTGCTAAACAGATTTGGAATCAATCACTATCCCTTATTTTAGTTCTAATTTCTATACCATGCCATTTTGGATTGACTCAAAGCAAATTTGAACTCAACTTTTGTCCATATTTCTAGCTTTTCATGGACAATATGTTTTGGGATGATCTATTGAAGTTTATGAAATTAATGTAACATGAGCATTTTTTATCTTAACTTATCCCTACCATGTAATATCTTGCATGAGATCATTTCTGTGTGGAGGAGGTTAAGAAAATAGTCACGGATCTCCAAAAGTACGCTAATCTTAAACAATCTAAACTAGAATTAATGATTTCTTGTCTACTTTCGAAATCAAAGTTGATTAAACCTAACACATATGGTTTTGTTAAATTACATGAGTATTGTGCTTCTGCTTCTGCTGATAGAGTCCTAAGGTATACTGCTAGTGCATGGCTTGGAGGATTTGCCTATAATATATGAATTTATTTTGTTACTAGTTATGAGCGATTTATATATGTTTACAAACTGCTTAGGATATAAGATTCAGAAAAATAAAAATAAAATCAGATTTTAAAACTGTAATTCAGTTAATTCAAAATTATCAATATACAAATCTTAATAATACTTAATTAATCAGATCAATCCAATTACTATTGTAACATTTTTGGTAAATCAAACTATTTATATTTATCGAAAGATAAATAGCTAAGTAGATTAGATAGCAAATCATGTTTTTTTTATTGCCACTTGGTTTGCACTAATTTTCAAGTATTTTTATTATTATTATTGTTGTTTTAAAAAATACATATGAGATCAGTTTTTCTTTCTTTCTTTTTTTTTATTGTAAGTTTTTTTAGAGTTTTTTTTTCCTATAAACTCTCTATTTAATAAAAAAAAAATTGAAGGTAATTAATTCGTCATTAGGTACGACAAGTAGGATGAAATAAATTTAGACATTTTAAAATGAAAAACTTTAGATTGATTATGTGCTGTCAAGTCAATTGTAGGAACGATGGAACTGATTAATGAATCTCCAACGTCAGAAGTACAGTTTTCCTTCTCGATGAAGATGGATAAGCCAGGAAGCATTAGAGATCGCACCCAAATCCTGCTGCGCGAATTTTTGGTTCGTTGTTTCTGTCAAAAAAAAAAAAAAGTCCAGCCTTCAAAAAACTGCATGCTGGTTGGTTGATGGAATAATATAAAGGGACGATTATGTCCTAGTTGCTAGAAAGAATTATTGGGGCCCCTCCTCGAGTGGTGAGGCCCTAGGTAACGAAGTTGACTGCCGATTTGAACACTAATGATGAGTTTGTGTACAATTAGCTGAGTCGGCTGACCATATCATAATAATTTAATTTTAAATTTCAAATCCTGCTGTACAAGTACCCAAAAAATTATCGGTTAAAAAACTAAATTATAAATTAGTTTTTTTAAAACAAATTAATTAATCATTCTTGTTTTAAAAATTAATTATTTAATTTTTATAATTTTAATTTTATAATTTATTTTTTTTTATTTTTAATTTATTTTGATTTTTAATTTTAAGAAATAGAAAAAAGCAAATAAATAATATAGAATAATTGATAAAAAATAATATTATATTAAATATGATCAATACTAATTAAATAATATTTTTTAAATAAAAATTAATTAATTCGTTTCTAAAACATAAAGGGACTAATTTATATTTTATTCTCGATTAAGAGGGGCAAAAAGGAAGAAAATGGACAGGATGATGTTCTGTTTCTATGAAAATGTCAGTTATACCATTCCTCGCTTGAAGGTCCCACTCGAAATCTAGTGACTGCAATCGGTTTGGTTCATGCACCTTCTCCCTGACGAAGACAAAAATATTCAATTACTTTCTCTCCCTCTCACATTAACTTAAAAAACTCAGGTTGACTTAGAATAGTAAGGATTCTGACATGTGTTGGTACATACTATTGTGTTTAATAGGAGGATAAATAGATAATGATTCGTTTCTAGATTTCGTTCATCTTTTCTGTCATTTGCTACGTGGCTTGTGGCGTGCACGAGCTTACTGGATTCGCCAAAATGTCAGAACTACTACTGTACGTACTTTTTTTTTTTGGGGGGGGGGGGGGTGGGGGGGCGGTGCGGCTTGGCAGATGCCATGTGATTAGTTCGAAATCTTTAGAGTAGTATAGTTGATTAAATGATTTTTTTTTATGGTTGAAAGAACGGTGATTATTGATCATAGCCGATGGTCTAATATTTTAAAAAATCTCCAAGACAAGTCATTTTTTTAAATTAGAAGACTCTCTAGTTACTAAACTAATGTATTGATATATGAGATACATTGGTA